TGAAGAATATATAAGCAAGAAATTCTAGATATCCCAACCTTCGGCTCTTTCTTAACTGTGGTAAGTCCAAATAAGTTCGGGAACGGCTGCCCTGGGCAAGTGTCTTTCCAGTACTGATGCAATCGTGTTCGCACCTTGAATGCCAAAATATAACAATGTACCAAAAACCAATTGGTTCCATTGCAAGTGGGACGAAAAACCCTTACCGTTTCAACACGGTAGTTAAACGCATCTCTCTCTTTTTCGAATCGAGCGCGATCTTGGTCCTGCAGATGTCGCGATCGAGAAGGATTCGGTACAAAGACCATGTACTTGAGTTCGTCCTGAATTATTTTTGGAAAAAGTACTCAAACGAAACAGCAGCTTGATATTACAAAAACTATGAAGGACTTATAGATGAGCTAACCCTCTTCAGCTGCTCAATTTCTTTGCTGATCGCTTCCAACACGGCGTCATTTTCCTTAGCTTTCAATGTCTCTGGCCCACATACCACATCCGGCAGACGCATGACACCATTTCTATTCTGTGCCATTGATAGCTCAGCCTTAAGTATTACAAATCGGCAAAAAATTCAAATACACAAAGTCAAATATAACAACTGATAACTTACCAATCAAAATATGATAACTGTGACTAACCTTCAACGAAACAATCTCTAGAGTAGCCCGGCGCAAAGCGTCACGACTTTCGGCAAGTTGCTGCTCCAGCAGTGTCACCTCTTCTCTTCCTAAAGCCAATCCAACAGGAGATGTTGCTTGCAATGGAGATGTGACAGAGCGAGTCTCGAGACGTTGTATATTCTGTAAGCTATACTTTGAAATTTGGAAAGAGTGATTTTTCTAGGATAACACCCAAAAACCATCCGATGGCATTGAGATGATGGATTTTTAGACTATGATTAGAACAAACTCTATAACTTACTCTAGGAGTAGTCAAATTTTTTCAGAACGTCGATCAATTTTTAAAAGACTCATACTAACAGGACATTGGAGTGCTGTGATAGAGCTAACATTTCTGATTCTTATCTTTCTCTGCTCACTATACATCATGCAAGCTGTACCAACTCATCTTACACGGTAATTATAATTATGATCACGGAATTCAATGACAATCTTCCCTCTAATAAAAGTCAGCTAAGAATTTAACTAATAAAGCAATAAGACTGAAGTAGGCGGTGAGGTAGGTAAATTATGCATATCTAAATAACCAATAGAACTGCAATCATTTTTTCGTGCTCAATATAACAGTCACCCAACATGCAAACCAAAAGAAACACAAAGAGAAGGCCCATTTCCCAAAGTAAAAAAAGAAGGAAGAAACGACGTCAGTGCGACGCTTGCGACAACAACACTTTCACTCACCGATGACGGTGACACAGATCTTTGTGATTTTAGTACTAAGGCCTAAATTAGGAGTTAGATCATGTTAGTACACCTGAAAACAATAGCATGCTACAATCACATTTGGGACTAGAAACTTAGTAGAATATAAGGTAGGACACATAAGAGAACAAGAGTGTTCTACCACTATAGAGCATGCTTGTGAAGTTGATGAGTAAGTATAAAAGAACTAAAACTTGGCTTACATCAAGAAGCGTTTTTCTAGAGAAATTCTTGGCGATCTGTTTTAACTCCGCATTTTCTCTTTCACATTCCTTGAGTTCCTTCTGCAGTGCATCCATGGTTTCATCGAATTCGCTGAAACTGGTGTTTTAAAGGTATGACTTCTTGTAAGATATTTATAAGTGAATGAAGCGCCTTGCGAAAAGAAAAATCCAAGATTTCAGATAAGAAAGAACTCACATTTGCTTCTTCTTATTATCAGCTACAAGTTGTTCTATTTTCGCCTCCAAATGCTGTACTTTCACATTGTCTTGCTTTCCGGCAGACTCAATTCTGGCCTCAGCCATATCCAAACGTAGCTGAACAACACCATGTTAACTTCATGATTACGCAATCAGCAACTGGACAACTTAAATCACCTTGTAATTGCTGATATCATCAAGCCTACTCTTAATGGTCTTTTTCAGCTCTAAAATTTCCATATCCTTCTTTTCCAGTTGCCACCGCAATCCTTCGGCTTCGGCTGCTGCCTGCTTCCGCAGATGGGCTCTTTCTAGAACTGGAGGGAAGCCCTAAAACCAAATCATTAGGCTTAGATCCGCTACCTAAAATTAGCAGTTGCAAAAATCAAAAAAAAAAATGCTTACCTTATCCTTCTCATCAGTCTCCATGACACCTTTCTCCAGGGCGTTGAATAGATTATTGAGATTTTCACGAAGTGTGTAGAAATACTTGCTAAGAGTTAGACAATAACTGCAAACATTGAAGCATGTCAGACAGACATACCTTATGGGCTCAAATGTTTTTTCCAAAGTTATTGATCCGTTGGCCTTCTCAACTTCGCCATGCATCATTTCTTTTAATCTCATTGCATCAAAACCATCCAATTCTGGAAACG